CGTAGGTTTAAGGATCACGAACAGACCGACACTCCCATTTGTCTCCTCCCTGCCCTCCCCCAGTACAAGCGTTTCTTCTGTGTTTATGTCTTCCAGCACCATTTTCAAGTCCCTCATCTGCAATAGGTCTGTCGTTTCACTCACCAGCTCCTTCTGGATGGCAAGAATTCTGTGGCGAGCAGCCTCACAGTTTGCTCTCTTGCCTGTGATAACAATTGTCTCCGAGTTGCTGTTCTCTGCTGGGAGATCAATTTTGGTATTGCTTTCCTCACGGATCTGCCACAAAGGAAAAAATAAAATCACCTCAGAGGTGTCTCATGTCAGTAAAAGCCCTTGGAGGTTATATTTGACACTACCAATAAGCAGGAGAGAGCAGCAAGTGAGATTTAGCTGCAGGTAGTGCACTGGAGATAGGAAAGATACCTCACCTTCTTGATGTTGGCACCTCCTTTCCCTATGATGTTCTTGTGGAATTGTTTGAAGATAGGGACAGAAATAGAAAAGCTGTTTTCAACCTAAGGGAGAAAGGAAGGGAGAACTGAAAATTACACTGCCACGGCAAGCGAGGTCCTGTCCCAGGAACTTGATATACAAGCCTTTGACAACAGGTTTAGACCCAAGGAAGCTCTCTACATGAAAGACCTGCAAGAATAGGCAAAGGCAAGTACCTTCCCCTATAGCCCTTAAATAACAGGTAATACCCCCTTGCTCCCATCCAGACAGAACAGTGTCCACAGCTCCCTCATCTTGAGGTGTTTCAGCCCTAGCCAAGCCAGTACAGCTCTGCTTTATTACAGGGTTATTCAGGCACGTAGGAGGGAACAGCAGCCAGAAGTCCCCCTTACCAGGTCTGCCACCATCTTTTGCATGTACTTGGTGCACTTCTCCACCTCATTTTTGGGACCTCTAAGTTGGACGATGTCACTCTTGTGGGCGGGGTCTGGGAAGTTGATGATAACCTGCAGGAGGTGGTCATTTATATTCAACTCAACGCAAGTCAAATGCAAGAATTGCTCTGTCAGACACATGCGCAAAGGTTGGGGGAATCCTATACATCCCCCTTCCCAAAGGGTAACCTTGTTAGCACCTTTTGGCCAAAAGAACTATCTTCTCATACATATTAGATATAGAGCCATTAAATTCATGACTTCAGCGACAATGTGTCTACTACCTAAGTAGGAAATATTCCCTCTGGATTCCTCATCTCCTAGAAAGCCTTACCTCTGGGAATTTCTCCCGGATTTCCCGGATCCGCTCGCCCTTCTGCCCAATGATGGTCCGGTGGAATTTCTGCTCAATGATTAAGTCCTTGGTGCGTTCATTTTCCTGATGAGAACAGAGGTTA